ACTGTCAGGAAGTTTGTCAGGAAGTTATTTATTTTGGCTATTTTTCAGAATACAAAATGCAGACAAGGCCATTAAAAGGAGCCGAAGAGGATGGGGAAAAGAATAAGATGATAATTACTTGAGGGAAGGAAGGGAAGAGGGCATAAATGAATCTCTTTTCTATTCTTTTTTGCTTTTTTCATTCCTTTTTTCTCCCCCCCTCTTTTTTTGTTTTATACACTTTTACTCTCTTGAAAAAAATCTATTAAAGATATACTTCTCTCTTCCCCCCACCCCCGCTACAGTGACAAACCACCACAATACATTCAGAAAACCACAGTTAAACAAAAGAGAAAAAAATGATGGAAACCAAAAAAGAACGATATTAAAAAAAAATATATGTTAAACTTAATAACAGACAGTGATGCTCCAACATTGGAAGTTTTTAAGAAGAGACTGGACAACCATTTGTCTGAAATGGTCTAGGGTTTCCTGCCTGAGCAGGGGGTTGGACTAGATGACCTCCAAGGTCCCTTCCAACTCTATCATGATTACGATTACGATTACGATTATATTTGATTCTGATTCCAATTCTTTCATAAATTGTTTTCTGTTAAAAACAAAACTCTACCTAGGTTTGCCTACTATTCATAGAGAAATCGTTCTTGTTTAAATTTGGTCAAGCCTTCTGATTTTTCTGCTTCTTCACTGTGTACCCTTTTGCTAAAAAAACAACAACAGCTTTTCTTAAAGACATGATGGTCCTGGCTGTTTCTGTTTGCCATTCCTTCCCTCATCTTCCTTTTCACAACAGCTCTTCTCTGAGTTGATGTTTACACTGAGTTGACCTCTACATTGTAATCCGAGGATCTGCCTTGGTTGGTTATTACCAGGGACTTGCTTGTGTGTGCATTTTGTCCAAAGACCATTATTGCTCTTCACTTGCTCAAGACATTTATTTGCTATTTGAATGTCCTTTCCTCTAGTTTGAAGAGTTCTTTTTGGTGCTGCTTGAACCAGTCTAAAGAATTTGGTGTTGCCAGCAGGCTTCGTCATGCTAAAGAACTTTTTCATAACACAGCGATACCTCGGTTACTCATTGTTAATTCGTTCTGTGAGGTACAATGAGCACCAAAAACAATTAGCACCAAATAATTTTTCCCCCATAAGGAATAATGTAGTGAGCCACAAGGCAACCGACACCAACACCACCAGTTCTAGCTTGTGCATTGAGTACCAAACAAACAATGAGGACCTAGAACTAAGGAGAAACTTCCTGACAGTTAGAACAATTAACCAGTGGAACAACCTGCCTCCAGAAGCTTTGAATGCTCCAACACTGGAAGTTTTTAAGAAGAGACTGGACAGCCATTGGTCTGAAATGGTGTAGGGTTCCTGCCTGGGCAGGAGGTTGGACTCGATGACCTTCAAGGTCCCTTCCAACTTTATTATTATTATTATTATTATTATTATTATTATTATTATTATTATTATTATTATTATTATTATTATTATTATTATTATTATTATTACTACTACTACTAAAATTTTCACGTCAAAATGTGTGAAGTACCAAATTCGATGAGTTTCAAAGCAGTTGAGTACCAAGGTACCACCTTTCGGGAACACCACAGATTATTTAGAGAGCCAGGCTGGTGAATGGATGAGGCTAGAGATTGAGGGTCCATGAGTTCTGGTCTTGCCTTAGGCCCAAAGTCAGCTGAGTGATCTTGGGACTAGTCTGGCTTTCTCTGACCTAGGAAGCTGGCAATGGCAAACAACTACCGAAATCCTGCCAAGAAAAATGCAAGGATTTATCTAGCAGTCTCCAAGGTCTTCTCACAGACATGGTATGTGCGGTAATTGCTTGTTTTCTTGCACACATTTCATTGCCCAACTAGATAACATTATCAGCTAGCACTGATGGGGAATGAATGAGAGGAGGAGGAGGAGGAGGAGAATGATTGTGA